ATTTTCCTTTGTGGGATCCAGGAGAGCCCCCTGGCTTATGAAGCATTTGGGCACTGTGAGAGTTAGTTGGGATAAATTTCCAGCTTCTTTTGTATGTCTGAGAGAGGTGGAACAGAGATGAGAAACAAAATAATTTGCAGGTTTATAATCTTGCTACATGTAAAGATAATGGCATTGTCCCTTGAGACAGAGATACTTTGGGATTACTTTTGCTTGTCACTTGATGCACTTGTCACAAGACGAGGTTTTGATCTGTAGTGCATATCCTGATGAGGTTTAATGCCTCACCTCTTGCTTGGGTGAATAATAAATGTCACTGAATAATAAATGTTCCCACTGCCTTTAGTGTAAAATCTCCTGAGTGTAATAGGACCCAAGTAAAGCTAATCGTCACCCTTGCCCACCTTGCACGTGGCTGGCTAAAGGAGCAGTGCTCAGAGCTAAAAGACTGGAAGGGTTGTACATGAACCAGTGCTGATACCATGCCAAGTGAGGCAGCAAGCATCACAGCTTGCTGTGACTTGCAGGAGAAGTAGGTATGCGGTGCATCGTGACAGCAGAAAGTGTCTGAGTGCAAATAGTATGCAGCTGTATCCACTGGATTTAGTCAGTCACGAATTACCATTGCTGACATCATATTAAAGAGCATTTTCTACTATTCTGTTTCTCTTGCATCTACCTTCTCTGTCAGAGAAAGGATTCTTTATGGTTTTAGCTGGATTTCGACCATGACGTGCCAAAATTAATGTGTCCGAATAACCTGATGCAGGTTTCTGACTAGAACTTAGATAGAACACATCTTCAGTTCAGGGGCACAGAGCAGCCCGCCATGCTGTAAATTGCTGTTATTTTTTCCCAAGTTTAACCTTTCCTGTGAATGGGTTGCAGAGATTTTGAGGTCAGCTCTAATTGATGTAACCTGTGTGTAACCCAAGAGGTGGCTATAACAACACACAATACAGTGGGTTCAACCCTCCAGCCCGTACTTAGGTGAAACCCCTAGTGATGCCAATGAATATTGTAATCAATAAGGTGTTTGTTGTGCTTCCCTTCTAAAAGCAAAAGCAAAGCAAAGATGACATTTACAGTGAAGAAATCCCCATGGAGTTAGTATCTGTAGGAGTAGCCCTTTTAGACTGTGTGATTAAGAAGTGAAATTGCTAGCTGAATAGAAAGTCGGGTCTCCAAAGGGGAAACAAAAGAACATCAGATCTTTCAAATGAATAAAGATGAATGAATATATTGGCCTCAGACCAAGATACAGCATTACTACAATCAACATAATCCTTCCTAAATGAATTGCCATATTCTGGAGCACATGTGTTAAGAAAAGGACCTTAAAAGCAGGATTCTTCATTAGTGGCCTATTGGAAATGATACCTCAAGGATAGAGTGTTTTACAGGCAATTCCCTGAGTTGATTCAGGAATCACCCTAGCTAAAAATTACTTCCTGTGGAGGGTAGCCTAGATGTGAAATTCAAAAGGAAGGATAGTGCTGGTTAAAAGCAGATCTTCTATAAGCAGACAGTACTTCATGAAATCCCATTTACAACTCTTTGATCCTTATGAAAGGATTTTAAGCAAATATTCCTCTTGGGAAGGATGTCTTTCTTCCTTTGCCATTAAGTTTAAAAATGTTCCTTATTTGTAAGTATTTTGCTAAAAGCAAGCTAATTTAATGGTATGGTGTCACAACTGGGTCTGAATCTGACCAGCTCTGACCATAGACAACCAAATATATCCACACACACACAAACAAAATTAAATCTCTTGCATGTTTTGGGAAATAGCCGCAAGAAGGAAAGCACAGAAGCACAGAGGAGCTCTGAATGTCGCACTTCATTGTCTGCCAGTGGGACTTTTGCCTTTGAGAAACTGCTCCCCTGAAAATAGTCTTCTTGTAGATATTTGGATAATCAAGAACCCAAACTTCAGCTTGTGGCTTTTAAACCTTCCCTCTAAATTTGTGTTTTCTAACTCTCAGTGGCCTTTTAAAAGTCTTATCAGCAAAGGATTTTGCCTCTTCAATGCTAAAATAGTAAAGAGGCTGGAAGTGTGATAACATAGCCTAATGTCTTCTTATGTCTATTGTCTTTAATCAGATGTCTTTTAAGTCACATGCATTTATAGGCAGAGAACTGGAAATACAGGTGGATTTGGACTTTAAACTGTTTTCAATTGGCTATTTAGCATAAAATCCATAGTGATCTTCAGGGCCATCGACTAATCTGGATTTTAGAGAATGCAGCCATTGTTGCTGTGGAGATGTTAGGACAATGGTATATTCTGGTAGGTCCTTAGAATTATGCAAAGGATGAAATCACTGCTGAGTGTTTCCTCCTCCCTTAGGCCTGGAAGATCTGGGGCCAAGAGTGTTGCACATTTTTCAGTTGGCAGTGGCTGCAATGAAGCAATTGAAAAGCTCAAAGGCAAGAATGAAGCAGTGCTTTGACCCATGTGCTGGGTATGTTATGTGAAGTTCAGTGTAGTTAAATTGTAAGGCAAACTGTAGATAGTTAAAAAGACATGATTTGCTTGATTTAGAGATGAAAATGTAATAGGCATTCCATTTGTGGAGGAAAAAACAAGAATTTAATAGCCTATATCAGAATTGCAGTCTGGACAGGTGCTGCTATTTGATGAAAACACTCCTCTTGAAATCTCTTTGAATCTTTCTGTATGGTTAGAGTAAATAATGGCATATTCATTCTTTGTTTTGTTTTTCAAACTCCATCTTGTACTATAGAGGTGTGGTTTTTTTCTGAAAGGTGCAGTACCATGCATATCACTACTGAAGAAAAGTGTATGGTTTGCTGTAACTTGCGCTGCATTGTATTTTCATATGCTGCACCAATTTGAGATAATATTTACTTAGTAAATCTTACGTCAGAAGATGGCAGTTTCTGTTACTATGTTTTTCAGTAGTTCTAGGAGCAGACTGAGAGCTGCATATGTAAAAAATGTATTTGAATTTTGTTGTGAATAATATTTGTTACTACCTCTAGCTCTGAGTGGAGTAGCTCTTAGTGGAGTTCCTGCTCTAACACCTGAATCTAACATTTGGATCATATTTACAAATAACCTAGAGTTGAGTGATTTACTGATCAAAGGAATTTGACTTCACTTGTAATTGCGCAGAGTCCACTGCGTATTTCGGGACTGCAGCAGGGCTCAGCTCATCATCTGGCAGGTTGATGCAGCCACTGCTTGTCTCTGCTGGCCTTGTACCATTGGGAGTATAGGAAAATATGGACGTGCTTCACAAGAGCTGAGGCAAGCTGATTTAAAAAAAAACTCAGCAAAACAAGCAATTTGTACAAATTGTGCCAGTCATCATCTTACAGATGTTTCGTGTGGCTCTTACTGTAATGCAAACAATAGTAAGGGAGCGAAAGCCACCGCCTTGAGTCTGAGTAGCTGGCCCCTCCTCCTGCAGCAAACGATGCTGAGTTTGTGGCATCTTCTGCTGCCGTGAAAATTGCTGTCATGTCGCAGGCTAAGCTCTGTGGCTTTGCTGCTAGATTAAGCAGGAGAAGCTAGACCACGATTTGCAAAAAATCACCAGGAAAGCAGTGTGCAGGGTTTGGAGGTGAAGAGCTGTGAGTAATAGGAATGGCTGTATCGTACTCAGCAGTGAGCTGAGCTGGGAGGTGCCCGAGCGCTTGTAAAATGGAGCTGCGGGGAGACAGAAGATAGGCATCGCTGCTGTGCTGATGCTGTGCCACAGCCGGGCACTAAACCCGTAAGCAAACAAACAGCGTTACAGCGATGCGGTGGCATCATCGCAGCAGCGACGGGTGGAGAAGCACCTCGGCTCCCCACCGCGCAGCAAATGCTGAGCAATGGCACGGATTTACAGTGGTGCTTTCCACACCTCCATGTCAATGAGAGTAGTTGTTTGTTTGTTTGTTTGTTTTTTTCCCTTGAATCTTGGCACCTAATGAATTGCTCAGTTTATATGTTCAACATAATACCCCCTCTCTGTTTTGCTGCATTCCTGCTGTCTGTCCTTGGCGGGATGGAGGGATGAGAGCATCCCAGTAGCTTCCCTTGGTTTGCACCGGGAAGAGCTGGGCTGGCAGCTTCTTGTACCAGTCAATGCACTGAAAACTTGGTAGGGATCCCTTAGGGCTCAGCAGGCAGGGCACTAGAGACTGAGACATCTGTTAGCTGAATAGAAAGGTGGCAGCCACCCTATAAAGGCTTACACTCTTGTCACCTCCTGAGCTGAGTAATGAGCTCACTGCTGTTTACATTGTGAGAGCACCCAAAGGTCACCAGAGTGGCTGAGGGTACATCTGACAGCTAGGCAAAGAAAGTGTCCTGCCTGGAGGGGGTTACAGCTGGGAAGGGGTAATGTGGGCCAGTGCTGCATGATTAATTGATGAGCTTCAGGTCACTCCTCCCTCCAGCTGCCCTGTTTTCCCCAGGGTGCTACAGAGTGTGACTGTCCTCCCGCCTGGAACATTGTCCAGGGAAAAGAGGACTTTGGTCCTTAGTTTTTCTGGGCATTTGGCACTTGGTAAGAAAACTGCAAGCAGCCTGCCTGACATCAGGCCCCCAGTAAATGAGAAATGGCCCCTGACCATGTGCAGCCAGGCTGCGTGCCCGAGAAGGCTAACCTACTTCACAGACCCTGTGTGTGCCCAGATTTTTGTCCAGGATTTCACTGCAGCAAATACCAATGACCTAAAAAGGTGCAGGAGGCATCCGTGGCTGTGGCAGCAATGCAGGTGTCAGCATCCCTCTGCCTTCAGGCCAGGGCTGTACCTGTTCCTGAAGCCCATGCTTAGGCTGTGGTGGGGAATCAGTATTCACATGCTGACCAAGGGTTTGTATGAAAGTTTACTTCATGAAGAATATAGCAAATCACTTGTCAATGTTAACCTATGCCTCCCTGCTAGTCAGTTATGTTTGTGTAATTTTTTCCAGTGCGTTCATGGAAATGCATCTATATGTTTAGGTGCACACAGGCGTTTGGTACTGCTGCTTTGGCTAAGGACAAGCCAGCCCTGGTCCGGAGCAGGCTGTAGGAGGGAATGCCTGTTTGCTTGGGCACAGTGTGCTGCCGGGGTGTCCACACGGCACTGAAACCTCGCCTGGGTTGCCTGTGCCCATCAGCACCATCTATGTAAAGGTACCCTGCTTTGCTTGTGCTCCTGGCTTGCAGCGATCTGTAATGTGTCCTACAGACATGCTGGTTGGGAAAGGTTCCAACAAACCCTTTTTTTGTTCTGAATTTGATGATTTGCTGGAATGGAAATGTGTCAGAGATGTTTCCACATCTATCTGGTCCTGATGGAAGCTGGGTGGGGCTCCATGGCACCCTCCCCAGTGGCTTGGCAGACTGTGGGGAACAGTGGCAAGCATCAAGATTTGTGGGGTTTTTTGGCAGCCTTGTCGCCCGTGGCTTCCTATTCTTGGCTGGCGGCAACCTTAGCCATAGGCCAGCGCAGGTGCAGGACCTGCTCCCTTTTGTGACAATTTTGAACCGTTTGTATTTTCTTCTGAGCAGGAAGACGTCAAGAATTAAAGCATTGAAAGTCTCCATAAAGTGCAGTTTTCTTTCTTCACCAGAATTTCTTAGATACTTTGAAATTCTGATGAATGTGAGAGACTTCGTATCTAAACATTCAATAATCCTTTATAAACTGTGAGTCTTAATTTAATGGATGACTCACATAATTGAGTGCTTTCTTGAAACTGCACTTTGTATCCTTTTAAGGTTCAGAGTATTCTAATACCTAGTTTTGCCACATATATGTATATTTATATACAAAACCATCTAAAATCCTTATGTCTGCAGTTATTTTCTGGGGTTGTACTTCTGCTTTATTTCAGTCTGCATTAGTTTTCCAGCCCGCTGCATTTGTTTCTATTTATTATGCATCTTCTCCTGTTTTAAAAGAAATAAAATGTAGAACATCTTGATGAGCATGCAGATTTTTTGACTAATTAGCAGTGACAGATGCAGTGCTCTGGTAATGTTCCCTGCCTGTATCAGTAAGCTCTTGCTTCTTGTAATTGGACAGTATTAATGTTTAGGAAGGCAATTGAATGAGCTTAAGAGCTCACAAGATGGTGGTCTCCGCAGGTCAGTGGGCAGTGTAGTAAATCATCACAGTGACGAGATGCATCTGCCAGCACATGGCAACATAACTTACTACTCTTCAGGCTGCTGATTCATGAGTCCTGCAATTAAAGTGACAGTCGAGAGGCTGGGGGGAAAACAGGGAGCCTGCTCTGGCATATTCCAGACTGAGGACTTGCATTCGTCTCCATCCTTTAACAAGAGGGTACCAACATCTAAGGCAGGTCCCGGGGACATACTTCACTGTAGTTCTGTGCCTTGATTCCCCCACTCCAAGGTCATCTCGCTGCTGCAGCACATGGAGAAAAGCTTCAAATCTTCTGTGTAGATACTCTTTTGTCACAGACTGCATTTAAAATTTCTTTTTCCTTCTTCTTTCTCCCTTTAAAATGTCTTTTTCTCCCTTTTTGCTTTTCTAGAATGATGTAGAGGGCTATAGAGGCTTCAAACCTGCAAAATGTACAAATACAAGCTGAAAAGTAAATGCTATCTGTAACTGAGAAGTTACATTGAAGAAAGGTTGTTACAACACCCCTATGTCTGACTTAGCACTTTTTAATCAATAAACTTTTAGTTCTCTATGGTTGTCCTGGTTTTATAAATGAGGAAATGTATCAACTTGTTTAATTGTTTTCTAAACTGGGAACCTGGGACATGCATGGTTTATTATGTGTGAGTCAACCTGTAATTAAATGTGGAATTGAATCTGGAGTGAGGAGTATAAAACATGGACAAAATGGAGATTCTGAGTTATTGCTTAGTGAGCCAAGGAAATAATTTACAATAAATGGCTTTTTTATATATGCATGGAAAAGAAGGTTCTGACTGCTTTAGAGGTTTTCAGCATTCGCAGTTACTTGGCACAAGTCTTTCCAAAAGCATTGTGTAGTTGTGGCTTCACACCACTCAGCAACTAAGCACCACACAGCCACTTGCTCACTCCCCCTGTAGGGGACATGGGGGAAGAAAATCGCAAGGGTAAAAGTGAGAAAACTCATGGGCTGAGATAAAAACAGTTTAATAATTACAATAAAATAAAATAAAAAGTAATAAATTCTAATGAAAAGGAAAATAACAAAGAAAAACAAAACTCAAGGAAGGCAAATGATGCAAATTAAGACAATTGCTCAACACCAACCAACTGATGCCCAGCCAGTCCCCCAGGAGCAGCCCCCCAGCCAACTTCCCCCCCCCCCC